CCCTCTGTGAAATGGGAGTAATGGAGCCGAAGGAAGAAATACGAGACGCGGGAGCGCCTATTTATAGATTGCCTCGGTCCCGTGGGAAATAAAGATGCCGAAGCACGTCCCCCTTTCGGCTCCTTTCCCGAGGGTTTGGAGTTAAGGCTGGCTAGCTGAGGATTATGGGACTTGAAGTCCCAAGGAGGTCTAGCGCGTCCTCGAGCGGCTGAAGCACCTTGGAGGAAGAGCAGGATAATTTAGGGAAACACGCGTTACTACGTGACCAACCTTGCCAATAATTCTCTTACTCGAAGGACGGTGGGGTTTTTTGCCTTTCAGGGCAGAAATCCAGCAGGTAAAGCTGCTTTGGCAAAGGCAAAAAAAAAGGAGATCTGCTTTACTTCCTTTTTAAACAAGTGGTAACCCTGAGAAGGGGAACAGCTGGTCCTTTGTAGTTCACTTGACAAGCTGTCTGGGTTTTGGAGCTAAGTAGGATCAGCTCTGTTAGTGCTTGGAAGGGAGACCCCAGAAACCTCAGAGCAGACTAGGAATTAAAAAAAAAATCCCCCCAACAGGCACTGGTGAGCCACTTTCATATAGTTGCCAAGAAAGTTCTGTGGGTATGTCTCTGGAGTTACCAGGACTTGGCTGTCATCATATAAAATCTTACTCCACAGAGACCCTTTCAACTGTGCAATCTTCTCCCCCCCCCCCCAACACCTCTGAAGTGGAAGAGGAGGAGTCACCTCCATCTGAGCTAAAGGTGTGCTGTTGTTCCTTTTAAATGCAGGCATCGGAGGTTGCAAAAGAGGTTGCAAAAGTCAACCGCTGAAGCGGAGGCCATCTTTGACCCTTTTCCAAACAGGAAGGTAACCCCTTCGCAGGCCAGCCTTGCTCCATGGCAGATGATAAAAGGGACTATGATTTGACAGAAGAGCAGAAAGTTACAAAAGCAAAATATCCTTCCATCCAGAAGAAATATGAATGTGAGTGTGGTTCTTTAAATGTTTCTAGGATAAGTTACTTATTTGTGAGTAAAGGCAGGGTGTGGTGTAAATCAGAATTTTCTCAGTTTGGAGCTGTGGGGAGGGTTAGGCATAGACTATGAGAAAAAATACAGTGATCTGATCTTGCACCTCTGATCTGCCTAGAGAATACATAAGGAATATTACTGCATTTATAACAAATGTAAATAAAAATCAACATGGATGGATAGAATCATAGCAAAGTTTACATCTTCAGGGCACACAGAAGTATAGCAGAGTTGGTCTGTGGAGAACAGAGAAGATCCAAATCTACAGTAAAATAATCTTTACATCATGGTTTAATTCTTTATATATTCCTTTGGGTGGTTGTTTTTGTTTCTTTGCTTTTGGTTGGTCTTTGCCAGCTATAGTTTTAGCATTGCTAAATCAATGGGTTCCTACTTCCCAGTCTGCAAAAACATTGCTGAATTTTTGAATCTGGGATGATTACTTTTTTCAGTACTTAATCAAAACCTGTGAATCCTTGAGGTTGAGGCCTTAACGTGATTTCTGTGGATTTCACTTTGATTTAAATCACCCAATTGATCTTATGCATTCTTTTTAATCCACGTTTAGATCTGGATCATACTGCTGATGTGCAGTGAGTATTTTCTCCTAAGCATATAATCTAATAGAGGGAAGGGGGAGAGATAAATTATAGGATGCCCATTCTTTCTCTAGTCTTCAGGAAAGCTTTTTTTCATGTCATATTTCCTCATTAGTAATTCTAATCTTAGTGGACTCTCTGCTGGATATGCAAGACCAGCAGTTTAGGTCAAATCTGAGTAGTCTACAAAGCACTGTATCAGGTTAGGCCACTTATTCATCTTGCTCCATATGTTGTCCAAGTTCCCACATATTTAATGGACTCTTAATTTATTAAAATCCAACTAATTCAAATAATTAAACATGCTAAACCAAGATGAAATAATATTATGGTTTAATATTTATTTATTTTTTATTTTATTTATTTTCAAATTTGTATGCCGCCCATTGGGGGAGATGGGCGGCATACAAATTTTAAAATAAATAAAATAAAAAATAAATAAATATTAAACCATAATATTATTTCATCTTGGTTTAGCATGTTTAATTGTTTGAATTAGTTGGATTTTAGTAAATTAAGAGTCCATTAAATTAATTAAATTTATTCTATTATGGCTTAGCAAATTTTGTGACCAGGCTGTTAGGGGTTAGTCAGGAAATTATGGCTTACGAAAATTATGCCTTGGGGACAGCAACTCAACTGACAATGGTTCTCCAGACTGGAAGCTTCTCCAGTTCTATTTGGAAAGGGTAGGAGCTGAACAGGGACTCCCTGCCTGCAAAACAGGAGTTCTGTCACTAAGATACATCACTTCCCCAAAGGCCTCTAGCTTAAAACCATTTTATGAATTTGTATGTGTTGGAGGATTACATAATCTAAAATGTTCCTCTGCAGATTGGGAAGGAAGGTGGATGGGGGCAAAGATTTTTCTACAAAGCAAGTTCTTGGTTGTGTAAAGTTAGTTGTTGAACACATGTAATAGAAACCACAGAGTTAAAAGGGAAACTACTATTTATTTTTTACTGAAGACTTCAAAATATAAATCATTAATTATTTTTCCTGTATGTCAACTGAATTGTCCTTTCTGATATTCTGGTCTTCAGATTTCTCGTCTGTGTATTTTATTCTGATGCTAGGGCCACTATGCCAAGAAAAATTAATTCTGATAAACTTTTAGGTTGCATGCCTGGGGTGATACCTTGGAAGAGGCATTTGAACAATGTGCTATGGCCATGTTTGGGTACATGACAGACACAGAGACAGTTGAACCTCTTGACACTGTAGAAGTGGAAGCAGAAGGTAAGAAAGTGCTTTGGAATCAGGCTTTTCTAACTGGATGTTCCCCAGATGTTTTTGCCCAGAACATCCCCAAACAGGAACAACATTAAAGAAGATTGTTTTGAATTATATTAGGGTTTTTAAAGAGCAAAGCATTAGACAAAGACCTGCCAGTGTATGAATGTACTGATTAAATATATGAAGCTGCCTTCTGTCACAGTGATGGTGAACCTATGACACGTGTGTCAAAGGTGACACGTCACGACATTTTGGGTGACACGCCAGCATTCACCAACACCTGACGATAACTATTCTCCCTGTTTGAGTTACCAAAGAAACTGAGTTTGTTTTACTCATATTTTATTTTTGTAATTATTTGACGTTTCTTTATATAATACATGGCACCACACATGGTTGAGCTGTATTTTTTTTAAATAAATGAGTATGTGAAGAATGGTTTCTCTTTTGTTTGGGATGCCAGCAGAATCAAGTTAGGCATTTTCTGAATTTTTGACACACCAAGCCCAAACAGTTCACCATCGCTGTTCTATCGTGTTGTCTATGAGCCAGTTCTCAGATGGCCACAAGGAAAACGTCTAATAGAATATCAATCCCTTACCCCCTCTCCCCCACCCCAAAAAACCCCAAACAGCTGGAAAACATTACTTCTACCCAAAAGAGATTAGCTTCTAGTCTGTTACATCATGCAGGTGAGAGAAAGTTATAAGAATTTGAATTATAAATAGGTCTTGCATTTGATACACTGCAGTCACTAGAGTTATTTTGTAATAGCTTCTTTACCTTTTCTACAGTAAATCTACTCATTAGAAGTTTTTGTATCCCTGAGTGCCTATTTATGTTTCCATTCCAGCTTGCCAAGAGAAGCCTGACAATTTGGATTCTATTTTTATATTGCAGGATGCACAACCCTTTTCAGATCAAAGTCAACACTCACCCTTTCATTGGCATATCAGAAGCTTCTGTATAAAAAGTGGCAGGGCCAGGAGTAGGAAGGCCCAGGGCAAAGAAAATGAACTAATTTGAATATTAAATGTGCTTATAATGATTATCCCAAAGTATTTAAGAACGTCATTTTTACGAATTTAAAAGGAAAGATACACTTGAATTGAGCTAAATTGCCAGCGATTGCATCCATACAGAGTCCTTATGAAAGAGGCTTGTAGGATGTTTTTTCAGCTTCTTAGCCTTGTCATAAAACAAACTGCAGTTGATTGGCAGTTTTGGAAGACCTCAGGGAGCTTTTTGTGCATACCTGCAGTATGGTATGTGCCAGAGATTCCAGGCAGGGAGCGCAACCTGAAATGAAGGAGGAGGATAGAGAACAGTTTTCTCACTGTTAACTTAGCTTAATGTGATCCAAACTAGTTCACATAAGAGGAACCTAGCAGAGTGTTTTTTGGATCTCTGACTCAATATGGATAAATTCTTACCATTCATCAGGAGCATAAGATATCAAGCTGTCATCCTTGCATAGACAATGGTGATTTACCACTGAGTAAACACTGTAGTTGGAAACTACAGCCTATTCAGTAGCAATTAAAATAGGAGTTCTTCAGTTATAAAAGACCTGTAAGCATAGTTGCTGATTCCTACAGGTAGGCAGAAAATTTAGCTTTGCGTTCAGACCAGGACAACAAGCAGAAAAAAGAATGTTTTTAGCATAGTTAAGAATGTGTAGGAAAATAATGAGCCACCCAGCATGGTTCACACAAAGATTAGCTTTCATGTTCTTTGCCCAGCCTAGATCTGTCTAGGGAGAGGATCAGATGTGTTTGGGTGGGGAGGAATTCTGCATTGAAAATCCACCTGAGGGCTTCTAATATGTTTTTCCATAGGACATGATATGCTGTCTCTTCTCTTTCATTTCCTTGATGAATGGCTCTATAAATTCAGTGCTAATGAGTTCTTCATTCCCAGAGTGAGTATTTACTGTCTCTCATCTTAAGGAATAGGGATATTTTCACACTGGCTCTTTGTCTTGTTGACCCGTTCAGTTCATCCATTCTAATGATGCTGAGGTATCTGCAGCCAGCCAATAAGAAAACCCAAAGATGAACAGTACTGTATTATTTAAGATCCCATTGGCTGCATTCTACTTGAAAATCAGGGACTTTTTATAGATTAACTAGATTATATTTGTTGGTCAAGATGCCAAAGCAGAGTGGAATATCAATTTGTAGTCTCTAAGAAGTTATCAATGTGCCTTGAGATATATAGAGAGTTGGGAATCATTCTTCTGCTTTGATTAAGAATCTTGGTACTTTTAGATGCTACTGGAGCTGTGTGAAGGTGTATACATTTTGTACTACGATTAATTTCCCCCCTATTTATAGGAAGTAAAGGTGCTTCACATCGATCGAATACGTTTCAGGATACGATCTATTGGGTAAGTGAAAGCATCCAATTTAAAATAGAAGTATTGAAGTTCTAAAAGCTGAAGACGTGACTTTTATGGAAGATTCTGCACACAGTCCACATGGCTACTGAGAGTCATCTCACTGCCAGGTTTCTTGTTCACCATGATTTCTCATTAAGTTTTGGGAAAGGGAATGCTGGTCACGAATGGGGCCATTGTGGTCAGTTCATTTGCCTTAAAATGACCCAGGAGGCTTCCCCTTCCTTCAGTGGTGGCTTTTTAAAAAAATGCTTTACTTTGGTAATCTTCTAATAATTGTTTTCTTTTATTTTCAAGGTGGGGAGAAGAATTCTCTTTGCCAAAGCATCCCCAGGTATGCTCTAAACTAGCTTTAATGTAGTTCTTGTGGACTAGTGAACCAGAGTAAAATCTGGCTTGGTTGAGCATCCTTCTGAGTTCTAAGAAAAAAAAAAAGTTTAAATCCCTGCATTCCTTGGTCAAATGCTCACAACCCCCACCACACCCATGAAGTATATTCTAACCTTTCAGCTGAATGGGCAATTACTCAAGGAGGACAGATTCCCCTGAAAATGGCAACTTCTGCTATTGCTTGAAAAAAGCAAGCCCTGATGTTGTTGGGTTCACACATTACCCTAAGCCATAGTTTGTTTAACCATCATTTATTGAATAAGCCACACTGGTCTAGGTTCACCTATCCACAGCTAAATGACCCATGCCTTACAAGCCACAACATTTGGATTCACACATTGCCCCAAACCAAACCAAACAAACGGCGGTATGGCTTGGCATGATGTGTGAATTCAGAAACTGCATTTATTTTCACCCTGACTTGAAGGGAAAGCGAGCGTGCAGTCACTGCCTCCAGTCTGGCTAAAGAGTTGGCTACTGAGTCTTTGGTCCAGTGCAAAGAGACACTGTTACCCAGACGTTAACATACGATTTCTCTAGAAGAGAAAGCTGTTTGCAGAATTAATGGGCATCCCACTGAATTCTGCCTCTAATGGTGTAAAAAGTCTATTTCTGTATTTAAGATAAATATATATATTTATACTGCTTCTCATGTATAAGGATCTCAAAACAACATACATAAAACAAAAGCTACTAAAAGAACATAAAATCAGAATTTTGGGGGATAGTTTAAATACCACACTAATCCATAAGGTGAGTGGTTTGGTGTTGGCATTACCTTGCTGCATAAATGCAGTCTATAAATTATAAATTAGCCTGTTGTGTGAACCCACTCTGTTGTAGCTTACTGAATAAGCCATGGTTAAACATGATTTGTTGAATTACCAAGTTATTTACTCCTTTTCATTTCCTTGTTACATCTCAGGGGACAGAAGTCAAAGCAATAACCTATTCAGCAATGCAGATCCATGAAGATGAAAAACCAGAAGTTTTTGTCATAATTGATATTTAAACAAAGGACATCCATAGTCAGTGCATTTCAACTGCACAATTCCTCTGCGTTCTGCCCACTGAATTGCTAGAGCTGCAGCTCTCTTAGTTGCTCTGCTGGACAGACTTACTTGAGCAACATGAATCATTTCCCAGAGGATAAAAGCTTTAACTGCAAGTATTTGCTACTACTGCCCAAAAGTGGGGCTATTGCATTGAATATAGGTTCAAGCAACAAATATTGAAAAGATAATTAGACCAAGACTCATTTGGCAGGGTAACCTAGACAGCTGGAGATGAAATTGTTAGTTGTTTCATTGACAAGATGCATGATGGAAAGGAGCTAGGATGAATTATTTTCTTGTTTTAATTACACTATTTCCTCCACTTCCTACTTTGATATGATACCCATTTAAATAATTTGCATGGTGCTTTGGCACTGACTGCAGCCATTAAATTACACTGAGTTCCTTTTCCCCCTAATGTAGCCGTATTAAACATTGGAGGATGCGGTCTTCACGAAGTCATTCTCCAGTCACACTATCCATGATTAGGTGGCTGTGAAAGTGTGGCTTATATCTTCTGCTGTTCTCATTTGTAAATCCTTTTCTAGCCTCCATGGTTGCTTCTAACTATGTGGTAGGACAGCATCAGCACTGGTGCAATTCTGGTTCGCATGGATCAGAAATAAAACGAATCTTAGTTATAAAGAGAATCTGTTATTCATACTTGTTGCTGTTGCAGATCTTACACCATGGTTAAAACAGATACTGAAGAGAATGTGCGAGTTGTATCATATGACTAATGTCTGAACTATAGTTAAAAATCAGAGCAATGGTAGCCTCACTAAGGCTAAGAAGCTGTTATCTTCATGTAAGATAATATATAAAGAATGTATATTGTGGACACCCTTTGTGGTGGTGAACTGGGTTGCCTAGCATGAACCACATGTTTGAGATCTGCCCAAAGTGGCCCAGTGATGTTGAGGTCAGGAGACTGTGATGGCCACTCCTGGGCCTTCACTTTGTTCTGCTGTAGCCACCGAAGGGTTGACTCGGCCTTTGTTTTGGATCATGGTCATGTTGGAAAGTCCAAGTGGGCCCGCGTGCACCTTCCAGGCTGGTGAATGCAAATTGTCCTCCAAGATTCTCTGATAATATGCTGTGTTCATCTTGCCATCAATTCTGACTAAAATTTCTGTGCTGCTGAAGCTCCCCCCGCCCCGCAAAACAGCAGAGATCCACCTCCAGGCTTGATGGCAGGGATGGTCTGCTTCTCTTCACAGGCCTTGTTGACTCCTCTCCAAATACAGCGTTTATGGTTGTGACCATAAAGTTCAATTTTTGTCTCATCGCTCCAAATAATTTTCTTCCAGAATTTTTGAGGCTTCTCCAGGTGCTGTTTGGCGTATTGTGAGTGGGCTGCTTGGCAACTTTACCACGCAGCCCATGTTTGAACAGTGCATGCTGAAACAGCCACCCACATGGTTTCAGAGAAGCATGTATTTCCATAGAAGTTGCTTTTGGGTTTTTCTTTGCATCCTGACAAATTTTCCCAGCGGTTGTGTTTGACATCTTTCTTGGTCCACCTGACCATGGCTTAGTATTAACAGAGCCCCTAATTTTCCACTTCTTGATCAGAGTTTGAACAGTACTGCTTGGCATTTTCACATCTTTGGGTATCTTTTTACATCCTTTTCCTGATTGACGAAGCTGAACTACTGTTGCTCACGGATCCTTTGACAGCTCTTTTGCTTTCTCAGGCTTCAGTAACCAACCAAGTCAGCACAGCCCTGGATGAAATGCACAAGGGCTTCTCAGGAGCAAAGAAATGCATGGCCTATTTATATACAGACACTAATTGCACTCCAACAAGGCACAGGGGTGGATACTTACCCTTCACTGCCCTCCCAACCTGTGCATGTCAGCTAGAGTGTAAAACTGTATTATCAGCCCAAACAGTCAAGGCTATGCAAACTTGAAATATTTCAAAATAAATACTCTTTATTTCTGTGGTTTGTTTAATGATTGTGCTGTTCCCTAATGCCTGATAGTTTAATTTGAATCATGTTACAACTTTTAAAAATGTGAATCATGTTACAAATTTTAAAAATGTGTTTTGTCTGCTCGCTCATGTCCGCATCTTAGGAATTCTGCAAGGGGTATAAAAACTTAGGAGCACAACTGTAAGACCTCTGGGAAGAAGACTAGACAGGAAGAAAAGGCTTCTACTATTTGAATGTTTTCAGCAATCTAGGATGACCCATGTTAAAAATGCATTATCTGGGGAGACAACTAGTGCTCCTTTCAAGTAAATGCAATAGTTAATAGATAGACCATTAATACTGTAGAGGGACATGGTCCATGAATTTGCCCAATCCTTTAAAAAATTGAATTACGTTTTGGGTCAGATTAACTCCCAAGATACAAAGTTATTCTAGATGTCAAAGCATACTCCCAAAACCTGGTTAACCATTCCTCCATAAAGGGGTTCAAAGATAGTGGTGCACAGTCTGGGGGTCCTCCTGGACTCACCTCTCCTGCTCAAAGAGCCTTGGCAGCCGTGGCTAGGAGGGCCTTTGCACAGCTTAGGGCTTTGCATCATTTGTGCCATTCCTGGACTGGAGGGCCCTGCCCTTGTGACTTCCCTATTGGACCACCGCAATGCACCTTTTGTGGGGCTGCCCTTGAAGAGTATTCGGAACCTTCAACTGGTGCAAAATGCAGCAGTGCAGGCAGTTACTGGTGCCAGTTACTTGGCATGTGATACCACTGCTCTGGTGTGCTTCCAGGTGCAATTTAAGGTGCTGGTTGTCATCTTTAAAGCCCTTCATGGCTTAGGACGGGGTTACTTATGGGAGCGTCTCTCCCCACTTGTTTCCACCCATCCTATCTGATTGGGCAGGTCGCGCAGGCTCTGGATGCCGTCAGCTAGGAAGTGTCAGCTGGCAGGGCCCAGAAGGAGAGCCTCTTCTGCCGTGGCACCCGCCCTTTGGGACATCACCCCCCTGAGACTGGCCTGGCCCCGTCCCTGTTGGCCTTTCGTAAGGCCTCGAAAACTAGAGCCCATCTCCTGGTTGTATGGATGATAGGTTAGATCATGACTGGCTGCTGTGTGGTTTTAGTTTTGTTTTCTATTATATATTTTGTGTTTTTATTTCCTTTATTGTAAGCCACCTATAAAAAGTGAGATGGGTGGCTATATAAATAAAATACATTTTTAAAAAATTAAAAATAATAAAAGACCCTTGCAGTTAGCATGTACAAAGCTAATTCAGTATATTTTGGGGAGATGTATGGTTTCATAACATTTAGTAAAAATATCGCAAGTTGAAATGGGAATTCAACTTTTAAAATTTGCTTCATATTAGCGTGAATCCAATCCCGCTCTGCCCAGCCCAGTCAACGTGAGTGGGCCGAATCATTCGGTTGGAGGTGAGAAGTGCCTTGGCAGCGGCCCACCTGACTGGAGCTCTTGCCAGCCTGGATCGCAGTGATCCAGAGTGCGGAAAGACACCTTCCCACAATGTCCTGGCCCTGCAAATCCAGTGTACCAAGTACTGAGTGCCACCCTTCAGATTTCCCTGCACATCTGGAAGTGCATGGGGGGGCATCCTTAGGGTGGGGGCAAGGGAGGGGGTGGCCACGGGGCCCATGGGGAAGTGTCCGGGGCCGGCCCAGTGGCTTCCTTGCCCATCCCACTGGGCGCCCTCTTCCTCTCCAGCCTTGGGGCTTGAGTGGTACCAGGACCCCCTCCTTCTCCCACCCCCCTTGCCAGGCCAGAGCTCCACTGGCTGCCTTAGTTGAGCTTAAAAAGACGGAATGGTTTGTTGGCCTGATTCATATGTAACATTAAGCTGTTAATAGGCTTTGTTCTTGGTTTAGTTTAATGCATGAACCCACTCATTATGACTTAGCATTATGTGAGAACCAGGCCACAGTAGGTTGTTCAGTAAACCAGTTTAAAATCTTGGCTTAGTGTGGGTTTTGCTTTGGGTAGTCCCCTCCAGTGAGCCCTGATGCATCTAATACTACATCAGTCCCAGGAAATGCCACAACCCTGGCTGTGCCTACTCAATAAACCATTGTGGCTAATTCAAGTCATGGTTTGTTTTAACCATAATTGTATAGATGAACTCAGGCTTTGTGAAGATAGCATTGGCAGGAGCTGGAGGTATAAGACTAACGTATTTCCATGCTACCAATGTTTGTATATTTTCAAATTTTTAAAATTTTTGATAATGTTTTCATTTTAATAATCACTTTTTAACTTTTTATAATGATCATTTTTATCTATTTGTTATTTAGTTGTTGTATGCCGCCCAGAGTCACTTTGTGTGAGATGGGCAGCTCTATAAATGTGACAAATAAATAAAATAAAAACCCCTCGCCAGAACCGATTACAAGTGACTAGCAATTGTTTCTGGATTTAGAGATTGCAGCATCCTCAAAACCTAGAAAAGAGCATTTTTTCTTCTTAAATAGGAGAGTAGAAGAGAGTCACGTCCCTCCCCTTGGAGCTGCCATCACATATGGAAAAACAAATGCCCTCTCATCCCTGGTCCACACCAAAAGGAAATAAAATAAGTGCTTTCCTGTCTCATGTTTTTTTAATCTATGCTTTTCTCTGGAAGTCTGCAGAATGGCCAGAGGCGGCTCCCGGTGGAACCCCTTCCAGAGAAGGCTGCAAAATGCCAACCAAGGGGCTGAAATCCCACAAAGCTGCTAGGCCACCTGCTGACATCACCGAGTTGCATGAAAAAGCCTCTGAAGGATGGATCTGAATGGGTAGCACCCTGCCCTTTTCTCAACCAGCCGCTTTTCCCAATTACTCAGATCATTTTCCTTCCCAGGAGGAGTTGGGAGAATCGGAGGTAAATGCTAGACTTGGCATGCAGGAAGAGAGGAGTTAAAGGCTGGCTCGAACCCAAGAATGGGAGCAGAGCAAGGCCAAAAGGTCTGCCAACCTGGGCCGCCCACGAGAGCTGCGGAGAGGGAAACGGTGGTTTGCTGGGCTTCCAACGGGCCGGAGCGAAGGTGGGAAGGAGGCTTGTTCTGGAAGAGGGGCCATGTGTGCTCTGTCAGGTCTGAAGCTGATCCCAGAGTGGGGGCAGTGCCTCCGGCCAAGCTGGGCTGGCCACTGAAACTAAAATATTCATACCAAGCGGGCTCTTGATCCATCCAGAGGTAGTTTGAAAGGGCGGCTGTGAGCAGACAAGGCCTTTCCCCTGGTTGTGCACAGCCATCAGCCCTCTAATGCAGTGTTTCTCAACCTCAGCAGATGTGTGGACTTCAACTCCCAGAATCCCCC